AGACGACTTTTATTGAGATTTGCTCTTACTAAATTTCTTTTCATGAAGGATTCTAATTGTGAGAGTATCTAATTGTAAATCGCCTAGAAATATCAATTCGAAATGAATGATCAAAGCTATGATTTTTTATTAACATCCTTCTTATAACCGTGTCCTTTCGATCGGCTTGAGGAGACGAGCAATCCCCATGACGCTTCCGTTATACTATCGCGATGATAATGACCATTAAGAGCATAGCGACGAGCAACGGCTTGGTCAAGGAGGATACACACATCGACTCTCGTCGACAGGTTAGCGGTTCTCGAACGTGTAGCGGCTAATCGAATTATCGATGCTTTGAGGCTCAGCGTCCATGGATGATTCGATCACGTAGCTGATGAACAGTTCCGGCGGTCAGCGATGCGAGCCGCTTTCGAAGGGAAACCTCTCGTTATGGACTCTCCCCAGTAACGTTTGAGCGAGCTGTTTCCGCCGTGCTCCACTGGCTTCTCAACGACAATAACCGCGGCCGTGTAATTAGTCGCAAAAACCGGCATTGCCGCTTGGAAAAATCGACAATTGGCCATGAATTTCCGGCGGAAGCAGGTTCTTGTAGAATTCCAGTTATCAGGAACTCTAGATATTCGCAAAATAAAGTTATTAAGCTGATCAGAATTATTCAATTTTGAATTTTAATAGAAGTTAGTACTTTATTTGTTTAATTCAAATTTGAGATTGTGTTATTAAGCAGAAACTCTTAGTCTTTTCAAAATAAAGCGAGAACTTTAGTCAGGATCGTGGAATTTTATGGGCTTTCTTCAATAAGCCGTCAATAATAGATTAAAAGTTGGGACTGTTGAGAGTGAGTAGTAACCGAGTCAGTAGTATGTCATTAGGCAAAAATATATCGGTCATCAATAATTGCGCGTGGAAATGATCAAATTCCATTTGTTATGATTTAAAATTTAAATTACGTTATGACTAATTAAAAAGCAATATATTTGCTACTTTATCGAGACAACTAACCAGAGCTGATTGACATAACTTGAAAACTGAACGATCTAATGTAACTTATGCTCGTTTTTATCTCAACGTAGTTTAATTTTAATCGTGATCCAAATAACTCTTCATCGAATTAAAAAAAGATAAAGAATAAGTTGGAAACTAAAGTTAATCTTCATTGATAGAAACGGGCATTATTCTGCAAATTTCCTAAGATTTATGATTTATAATTCTGATTTGTCACCAGTATGATGTAAATGGTGAGAGCCTATGGCACACAAAGAAAATATAATGCAATGAGACGTAAGTAAACGAATTGGCCAATCACATTAGAAAAGGCAATAACACTAGCAGTAGTAAGTCCAAAATGTTAATCTGCTTACTGCTTACGTCTTACTTTTAATTTTAAATTTCTTTAGGTGTCATAATCTCAACAGCGTGTTGTATTTTATAAATTCTTTGGAATGGGACCTAACTTTAAAGAGTAAAACTTGAGCCTGTCTTGAAAAAGAGTGACTCAATTTTTAATCTTCAAGAGTGAGATTTCACTCTTTAGAGTGACAATTCACTCTAAAAGTTTTAGAGGATAGAAAGCCCATTAATGTTGGGATATTAACTTCACACACGCGCAATTTTCCTTGTTTCGTCACGATTCCAGCAGTGTACGCGCGATTTCGGAACAGAAACGGTTAAATCGCGACCAAAGTTAACCGTCGCCGGTCGGAAGAATGACCAAAGGGATGGATGTTCTTTCCCCAAAGGTAAAACCACACCCACCGCACCGATGAAAATCGGTTAAATACAAAGTGGAAATTGAGCGCCAACCTGGCTTGACGGCCGAAGGTTTTCGAGGTCGTCGGCGGAATCCAGGTCGGCGTCCGCAGGAATTTCTGCGGTGAAATTCCAGTGCACGTAACTCCAAATATTTCTGTAGTATCGTAGTTCGTACGAGGGCGGGGAGATTTCGAGTTTCAAAGGAAACACTCTCGCCACTTCCGTTCGCGAGACAACAACGTTTCGCCGTCCGAGGGTCCAACACGCGGCTACTGAGCGGACACATACAGTCGTGACGGAAATTCTGTTGATAACTTCGAAACGCATAGACATGAATCTAAAGCAAAAGCGAATGTACAAAACTTATGTAGGTATACATTCACGAGCGATATAAAAAAAAGTGGGGAAAGATATTCTCAATTATTTTCAATCTGGTCTAATTACATTGGCGAGGTTCGCCAAAAGAGCAACATAAATTTAACATATCGCACCAATCGATATCGCCTAGCGATTATTATGTGGGAAAGTTTATATGCGGGCGGATTTAATAGTTTGCATAATTTACCCCTAGTTAGTTATTCCATTAATCATTACCCCGGGTAGGTGTGTGCACGCCCGCGAATAACAATCGTACTATTATTTATAACGTATTCAATTTATCGGTAACCCGCGGGCGGAGGTAAAGCGTGTAATCGATTCAACTCGATTAATTAACTCGCCCCCACGTATGCGATTGTAACCGAGGTGCCTCGGTGTGCACGGAGGCGTCTCTCGTTACCGTGGACGAAAACTTTCCGCCGTCGCGTTGTGTCGCGCAAAAAACGCACATACACAAACATACATACGCGGGACACGCATTCTACGTATGCGGGTCTCGTCCGCTTATCCGCGACACAAAGGCGTTTAATTAGAAGCGCATCGGAAAACGGGGGCATCATCCGGCATCTGGTTTTTGTTCCTGGCAATTTTCGCGTTCCGCTAAGGCGATACGGATTTTTCATCCCCATCGCCGTTAATAATTAACGGATCAAAGGAATCGTATTAATATTTGCCCCGAAGTCCCCGACCACAAGGAAGATATTAACCCGCGTAATATTGTGTCCATGCTAAGGGTAGAGAGGAGGGAAGGACATATTGAAACCGCACAAACTTCGCTCATAGCATTCGTGGGTATGAGCTCGTAAATATACCGGGTGGCTGAAATCGAACTTGGCGTAGTGCGGCCGGTGGACAACGCCCGAGGAAAAAGACCGACCCGTCAATATGCGTCACATTAACCGCATCAAGACCTGACAATTCAGTATCTTACTATTTATCTAATATGTGTAGGGAGTGTACTATTTAGGAACATGTACTTTGATCATACTAATTGTCGTTTTAACAATAACGACAATGATAGTTTATATTACTTTAATTGAAAAATGATATATAACTGAGTAGCCAACAGGAAAAATTCCATTATTGTAAAAAAAAGAATTAAGTTAAAAAACTTTTTTAATGTTATATTGTTCAAAAATTATAATAAAGTTGTAATTTTTTTTATTGTTAATATAAGGGAGATTGTGATACATGTTACCTTAAGAGGGGGGGATAAACTATTATTTTTTAACAAAAACAATATTCCTACGTTAGAGGACACTATTATTTTTTTAACAATAACAAGGTTTTTAATGACAGTTCAGTTATATTACTTCAGTTGAAACTCTAAGCAACCAAACGTTAAAAATCTCTTTATTGTCAAAAATAATTAGTATATTCCAACGCGTCCCTACACTGCAGTGAGAAAAATGTTCTAGTTGTACCAACAAGAAGTACAAACAAAACGAATTTTAATCATACCAATTCGAATTCTGGTTATCATAATTAACTTTTTGACTACCTCGATTAAAATGTTTGATAGATTTAATTATAAGTATCTAATTTATGCCTTTCTAATTGAATCTGTCAAAATTCAAATTAATGCAACAAAACTTATTTTCCAGTGTGGATACCACAGTTTCCCCTACATTCACAATTAAACATATCGCATCTTTCAGAAAGCGTTCTCTGGAATAATAACATTTACGGAAAATTTGTACGTTCCTGTCGATTCAGTTGAAAGGACGCTGTTCTTTTTCTGTGCAGCCTATGCAAGCGTTATACTATTCTTATACACTTAAAAGAACATCGTGGCTCTTCGAAGGGATACCTAATGTTTATCCAGAGCACGGACAGCGGTTGGCTACCCGAGTCGCTGGGTTGTTTCGGAGCCGGTGGTGCTTAAACGCGCAATAAGTGAAGGAAGAGAGAAGTGTGGGAGGGTCAAACTAATTCGATTCTAAACTCTGACCACATCGCGAGAAAGAGGACGGGACGCTCCGATGCGGGAGGGTTTCGCGGGGGATGAGAAAGGCTATACGCCCGAACGGGCCGAACGGGGTGGACACAGATGGCACTAACCGCGCCGTTAAATTCTCAAACCGTAACTCTAATTACTCATAGACAAGCCGACATTCTAGTGCCAGATGCCGGTGAAACTTGTTAAAAGCACGCGAACGCGATTACTCATTCTATCCTGAATGCCGGCGATTGCAGCCGAAAGTCGATCCGAGACTTTACGGCTGCTCCGGCTTCTGGATCTAAATAACGACATAAAACAGTTTTTATAATAGATAAATGATGTTAAATTAACTGTTATCCATTAACCAATCATCAGAATAAAACCGATATACCAAAGATAAATAAATATAATATCCAAACTATAATAAATTAAAATTGACCGAAAAATGTTCGACAGTTAAATGAAGAAGAGGGCGTATTCGATCAAAGTGGATCTTGATATTTAATAATATTTTTGTGTGACTTTTACAATTTCCGGTTCAAGTAAACTGCGCATTGATTTATCGTTCTTGAAACACGGTTTTAAACTGAAACCGAAATAATATCATGCATAAATTAAATTGACAAGCAATTTAATAATACATATGTTAGAACATCTTAACACACTATAAAAAATTTAGTAACTGAAAATTGTAAGATTCACTAAAAAAATATTATTAGGCACTATAAGATCCGCTTTGACTAAATATACGGATTTCTTCGTTTAATTTTGTTATAATACCAAACCTGACAAGATATAGCGCTGTCAAAAAATTTCCTGAATAAAATTTGAATGTGTTGAACGTAAATTTCATGAGATGTAGTAAGCGTTCGACGCATGGTTTGTACGATGGCGATTAAATCAACATTTCTGTATCATGTTACAGGCGATAAAATGACTATGGATGGGAGCAAGAGCGAACCGGGCAAGAACGGGGCCACTCAACAGGAATGCGCGGGTTGCGGAAAGGCGATTACGGAGAGGTAAGTGTTCCGCTTCGTTTGCGTGACGCAACGCTACATGGTATGTTTCACATCCTACCTTGAAAGAACGTTAACCGTAGGGACGGTTCGCTCAACGGTCGATCCTAATGTCTATCCAACCCCGTAAGTCATCAGAAGTATGAACTGGGTGGGTTAAATTTTTTCTTAATGAGAAGTGAACCGCAGTAAACCTGTGTTGTACAAAATTCGCAATTGATACTTGAAGCAAATAGAAATGTACAATTATGTATATAATTAAAAATGGTGAACGCACGCCAATGTAGTTGCAGAATAGAAGAAACCTGCATTCAATTTCTATTATATAATATTATTATCTTATTATATAATGATATTATATATTTATAAATTATAAATATATATTTCTATTATATAAAATTGTTACATAAAGGAATCTCTTGTCACATATAAAACAAACATACATAAAACAAACTTACATTGAGTAGCATTAATAATATATTCTTTCTTTTCCATTAAAAAAATCTTTTAACCGATAATATCACTCAATTTCTCAAATTTAAATTTATGTGTCAAATTACTATATTGAAGTCACAATCTTCAGTGTGTTATTATTGCATTAATGAAATCAGTCGTAGTTGAAACATATTAAATATTAAATAAATTTTCCGGAGAGAAGAGAAGTCTAAAATCTTATAAATCTAATCTTAAAAAAATCTAAAAGCGTATTTTATATACGTTTAATCACACTTGTATTTTCTATTCACTATCAGATAATAACATTTCTTAAACAGATATCTTCTAAAAGCATTGGACATGTTTTGGCACGAGGACTGCCTCAAGTGCGGATGTTGCGACTGCAGACTTGGCGAGGTCGGTTCGACGCTCTACACCAAAGCCAATCTCATCCTCTGCAAAAGAGATTATTTACGGTAAATAATGAACAAATAATTTAATCGATCGACATCAGTTTCTCGCAAAAATCTTTTCGGCAAAATTTTTGTGTATTCAATACAGCGTTGCGCATCCTGAGTCAGTAAACAGACAGACAGATTGACAAAGCGATTGACGAAAGACGCTATTGCGGAAGGGAGAGAAAATCGAGACGGGTAGCGGCAACAAATCGAATTTTACAGATGAATTTCCCTTATTGAATACATCCATATCCCATATAAACACGAGTGAGAGCAAATAAACTGTGTTGAGATTACGGAGTCCCAAGGGAATACGCGCAGGTGGCGGCGTCCGCACGAGGAACACGCACCGTCGAAACATTGTGGCCTTTATTAATGGCCTAATATTTGAAGACGGTATATTCGTGGTGCCCGTAAGCTTATTGGTTTCCGTCGCCGCACAGGGCGAAACTTTCCGTTCGCTTTCGTCATCGAAAGAACGACTTTTCTTGCGTCATGGCAAAAGTTAGGCTTCTCAATAATATTTTATGGCGATGTTTAACTGCGCGATATAAGGATATCGCGCGAATTTTGATTTAATACAATATAAAAAGTATTGTTTCGCATACGTAATTACTTGATATGTAATACGTACAGCCTTGGCCAGAAGTATAAATACCTCCACAAATTAACGTAAACATTCTAACAAAAAAGTTAAAAAGTCATATTTGTTTGTAACAATTTCAAAATTTTGTTAGTTTTCCATTGAATTTTATTACCGTTTTTTCCGAGAAAATGTAATAAATTGAGAGTGCTTTATACCTATATATGATCAAAGCTAATAAGAGTGCCTCTTTTTTTTTATTTGATAGACTTTTCGGAAATACCGGTCACTGTGCAGCGTGCAGCAAAGTAATTCCAGCTTTCGAGATGGTGATGCGCGCAAGGACCAACGTTTACCACTTGGAGTGCTTCGCTTGTCAACAATGTAATCACAGGTACGTAAGAACACAAATATAACGACACAATCGATTTGATAATTTTCTTTCTCGCAAAAAGGATCTTTTATTTAAATTTAAATTAAAACAGTATTAAGGATTAAAATCGTATTAATCGTATTTTTTTAATTATTGGCGGAATTTCAGAAAATATTTCGCCGACAAAACAAGTTCCGGATTCACGCCGCGTCAAAGTGTGGTCTCGCTTCCGCGGAACCTCCTCTGGCGGTGCTATTATTTTATTAACAATAATGAAAGCTGGTAATTAAACATTCACACCCGGCGGCGCCGACGTCGGCGGCGACGGCAAAGTCGCTTGCTCGAGTATTCCTCGTGGCAGCTCATCCGTATAACAATTTAATTCGAGCCACCCCAGCCGCGCGCGCCTGAGGGTTTGCCTAACTTCTGCAGCACTTCGCAACACTTCGCTTACTTATTCACAACAACCGAGTTAAGCCGAGGCTCGTTCGAAAGCCGGGACTCGAGCCGAGACGCCTCGGCGGATCTGCCGAATGGAGATAATCGGTGTGCGAAGGCTCGAGAGCCCGCACGTCATGCTTTTGCGAGACGCCACGAAGAGGGCAGCCGTCTCTTCTCCATTTCCGTCTCTTTTCCTTTTCGCAAGACAACGAGCAATACTTCTCGCTACACATTTTCAAGTTCTTCTTTTAGAACTTTATAAGAATAGAATCCTATCAAAGAGTCACGATTATTGGAACTGTGTCCGATTGAACGCTCTAGGAAAACTTTGCAAAATAAATACACAAATAATTAATACAGTTTACGAATAAATTACTTGTTTTTAGTAAAATTAGAGTTTGAGAGGGTAAAATGTCGCTGTTTTCGCGACTACCGTCCCCCATTCTACATTACGGTCGGAGTAAACGTTGGTTCGCTCCCCTAATTTGAGACTCTCGAGGAGGATCAATGCCGTAGAGCGAGAAGAATCCGCTCGACGTTTCCTCTCTTGACGAACATAATTGACGCGAGAGCTTCCGACGTGGATGCGAAGGCATTCGGAGACATTCGCGGAGAAGGAAGAGAGAGAGAAAGGGAATGGGAAAGAGGGAGAGAGGACTAGGAAGTCAAAGTTGCGAACTATGCGAGCGACGTGTGGGTGCCTCGAGGTGCACGTCAGATGCAAATCATGCCGACTAATTTCTCGGAAAACTCACGGATCGGAAGGGGGAGAGAGAGAGAGAGAGAGAGAGAGAGAGCAGACGGAATATTCGCGGTGAGAGATACGTCCAAGCATAATAGCACAGCGATAAAGCCGAATGGCCGAATTAATTATACCCCCGTGTCTTTGGTTGTCCAAAACAGTTGAACCATTCGGTGCTAACAACCCTTTGGCTCAGCTAGTTACCAAAAGCGTCCCGTTTTACGTATGTGTTGATTAACTTTGGGAGAGGGAGAATCAGATTAATCTTTTTAGATGTCGACATATTAATATTTTATTTATTCAAATTAAATTCATAAAAAGCCACTCGTATAACCAGGAGGAATAAAACATATAAAGTTTTGGTTTTATGTTTTTTTATTTTATATATTTTTGTTTTTTCAAAAAGGACACAATGCAATTATTTAATTTAATGACGGCGAGCTGGTTTCCAAACGCCGAAATGATTAAATTCCATTTAAACAATTATAATTGCACTTTCTTTCTCTCTCTTTTTAAATATATTTCATCCCTTAATAGTTATTTTATTATCTTAGTTAAATCAACTTAATTGTTCACGCTTATACCACTTCTCTTTCTTTTTTGTTATATATTTATACATACAGGGTGTTTCATGTGAGCGTAACTTAGAATGAATTCAAAACACAACTAAATAACACAAAAAGTTCATATAAATATTTATTCTTTCTGTCCTTGTTTCCTAATTACGTTTTCGTATTTTATTAATTTTTGTTGCAAACTGAACTATCGTAGCGTCTTCATACATTTCTGTTTTAAAAGAAGTCAGTAAGACGTGAAAACGCTAACTCAATTTGTAATAAAAATTAATGATACGTTTGTAACTCGGAAACAAAGTCAAATAGAACAAATAGCTCCGTTTGCATTGCTTCCACTTTTACACTCAGAATATTCGCTTGCTCTCTCTTCTCTACGCTCGAATATATATTTATATCTTGATTTAAGTGCAAAAATTTTTATGCATTTCGAACAACGTAATTAAACCTAATATTTATATAAACTTTTTATATTGTTTTTGTGAATTCATTTCTGATGTCATGTCTATCTTTCGTATCATTATAGAGTTTTCATAAATATATAGTAAATTTATAGATCAATTAAATGCTGCATTTATATCAAACAAGTTATGACAGATTGGAAAAAGGATAGGAAATGGCAAGATCGTTTCTTTATGCTACTTCATGGGGTCGATGACATTTCGGCATTTAATGTCACACCTCGACATTTGCCCGACCTTTCTTGCACCCTATGGCTGTCTAGTCTGAATTGATTCGGGCCGCGAGACCGAAACATTGAAAGCATATGTCGGAGCGCTGGAAGGTACCTACAAATCTCGTATATGTTTGTTTCCATTGATTAATAGATCATTTATAGAATAATGAGAAGTATAAAAAATACATTGAGCGCTATAAAATAACTAATGATAGTTTCCATAAACATTACAAAAGGTGGTCTTTTATAAATTGAAAACCAAATCTCTCACGCGCAAATCACATATACGTTTGTATTTCCATAGACCATTGATGGAATAGAATAATAGATAATGAAAAATATAAAAAATATTAGGTCGGGAATAAAAGTAGTGCTACGAACTTCAAAACCTCGAGGAGCTGTGAGTTTGTTAAAAATGAACGAAATTTAAATTTATAAAAAAAAAGAGTTTAAACTTAAAATTTCTACTTTTCAAAGATCAAATCGAAAAAGACTTTTTGTTGAAAAATCTAAAAGTTCACTGGATACAGATCTGAAAATAATTTTGCAGAATCATCAAAATAATTATGTCAGAAACTAAAAAATGAGCCATACTGCAAAAATTTTGATATTCTAGTAACCAGTTTCTATTTCCAATAAAATCATACTGGTGGTCCAACAAAATTATTTTCAGCTGTGTATCCAGCAAAATTTTTAATCTTTTAGCAAAATCGTTCCTTCCGTGTATATAATACGTTATAAAAGATAGTCTTTTATATAAATCTGTCCCCTGCGATATGATCTCGATCTTGAAACCGGATTCCTTACTAAATGCAGAAACAAAATCGGAGAGTGTAAATACTGTAAATAATCGTCACGAAGTAAAATTTAACTGCCCTTGTCGCAGAGAGCTTGTCGTCGACGCGTGACTATCGAGCGAAGCCGATTACGGGTTAAAGATACGTCGGCGGAAAGTATACTTTCTTTCGCGGTCGATGGTAACGCGCACCCTTAAGGCGAACCATTGGTCAGGGGTCGAAGAGGTTGACCGTACGCAAAAGCGGAAACGGATGTGGCCGTTGGGTCACGCGATCACCACCGAGCCAAGCATAAAACACCTGAGTTGTTTAATCATACGCTCCCGCGATGGAAACCTCGTGCTTCGAGAACTCTGCAAGGGTGAGACCGTCCGATTTCTTTCTCTCTTTTTCCTTCGTTGTACCTACCTCTCGAGGTTGTATCGCGATACGGAAGTGCGGATTACTCATTGACGAGTGGACGTGCAAACGCGACGATAATGAACACCTTGAATTGGACGAATCGTTCGTGATAACCGCGAGTTCAAGTATGAAAATTTAATCCTCCAACTTAACGTACGCAGCACAGGACCCCTGTTAATATCTAACTGCGATAAACTTGTACGATATTTCTATGATAATTACGTGAAAATTTCAATTTATATGCTAATTTTCTTGATACTATCGTCTTACAGGCAACTGTTTCAATTTATTTGCTATTAAATGTAAAAAAATGAGAAGGTGAATGGCACTAAAAAACTATCGGTGCTTGTTTTTGTGTTTATCACGATAAAGCCCATGGCACACAAAAAATTTAAGGTACTAAGACGTAAGCAGTAAAGAAATAAACATTTTTTACTTGCTATTGCTTATATACGTTATAACCTTACGTTCTCTAGTGTGATTGACCGATTCGTTTACTGCTTATGTCTTAAGTTTAACGAGTTTTCTACAATAAGCCGTTGTATCGCTCATATCATTCTAGAGATAAGGCAGAATTATGATTCATAAATCTTAGGAAACTTACATCTAAATCATATTAGATCATCAACAATATTTCAACCAATTAGAGGGCCAGTAATTGTCAGGACAAATAACATTATACAGTCAATCATAATCTAAATTTAAAATCGTAAGTATGGAATTTGGCCATCTCCACGCAGTCACTAATTACTGACTTATTATTGTCTTAGGATTGCTGACTTACTTAAAACTCGCTTTTGATTTTTATCTATTATTAACAGCTTATTGTGTGTGTGTGTGTGTGTGTGTGTGTGTGTGTGTGTGTGTGTG